CTGAGCAGTGAAGTTTTAGACTGTTATCAGTAGTATTTTTATTACATTTAGATTCATTAAATAGCTAAATTTTTGACAGTGTTAGTTTCCATTTGCATTCTACACTTCTGCACTCTAGCATTTCCTCTGAGAGTGATACGGTGTCGTGTGCACACTCCTTTGTCTTTTCAAATGCTCTGAATGTACACTGAAATACCGGTGTATCAGAATGTATGAGGGCATGAGTATGTCAATGCGACTCCCCACCCCAAAACACCCCCCTCACCCCTTCAACTTTGTTTGTCCTGAGGTCCTGTTCCGCCCTCCTCCTCTTCTTACCCCTCTCTGCCTCCCATGTGTACCCCCTGTCCTAATCCCTTCCCAAGCAGGAAGGCCCTAATTGAGGGTGCAGGCTTCAGTTTGTGGCCTGTGGGCGCCCATTACTGTGTTTTCATAAGCAAGTGAGGCCTGCCTGACTGATTCAATATTCATGTGTCTGCCAGCTACACACACACATACACTCTAGCAGTCTCAAATTAGCCCTGCATAGCAAATAACACGGAGACAGGCTGAGGAGATAAAAAGAGAGGGAGAGAAAAGGAGAGAAAGCGAAGTAGGCTGGAATGAAGAAAGAAAGAGACAGAGGAAGAGGTAAAGATAAAGGTGACCATGTGAAGAAAAGGTGTTTATAATGGAAGCAAAAACTTTGTGAAAACCGTGTAAAGAATTATGTTAGATATTGTAAAGATATTATCATTTTTTCCCATATGAATATTTGAGAATATAAGGATAATTTATGGATTCATTTGTGGAAAAACTAAGCTGGCTGATTTCTTATTTCTCTTTCCATTCTATTTTAGGTTACATCTTATAATATTATATTAATAATGTAGAAAATGATAAAACATAAGCCCCTTTCACACATAAAGTCTTTAGTGGTAAATTACCGTTAAGAGATCATGTGTATACTGGTATGAGAAGTTGTAACATTACCAGTTAGTTATAATGTGCTCTGTGTTGAGAGCATGATCTACTCTACTAGTCAATCAAAACATTCTGACGCAGATGGCGCATTTACTCCGCGCTGTTTACGGAAGTCAAAGAAGTGTCTAAATACGTCTAATACGATGTCTCTGGGACAAAAGGAGCTGCATAAATGTGAACGTTTGACGCAAAAATGAAGACATCAACAAAAACACTGACCGGGTATACTCCTCCATGTTTACAAACAGGCACAACCATTTAGAGGTCATTTGTGTCCCTGGAGCACAAAACCAGTCATAAGTAGCACGGGTATATTTGTAGCAATAGCCAACAATACATTATATGGGTTAATAATGTCACATTATTACAGTAATTTTACGGCAATTTACTGGTATTACTGTGTGAAAGGGGCTTTAAATATAACACAAAATTAATTATTTAATTTAATAAATTAATTACAAATAATTAGACACAAGCTAAAAAATAAATTAATGATTGCTGAAAATTCAGCTTTGCCATCACATGAATAAATTACATTAGAAAATATATTAAAACAGCTATTTGTAATTGTAATATTTTTACAATTATAATACTGTTTTTACTGTATTTTTTTTATCAAAATGTAGATCATATATATATATATATATATATATATATAGAGAGAGAGAGAGAGAGAGAGAGAGAGAGAGAGAGAGAGAGACAGAAATAAAAATCAAAAGAGGAATTAATAATTTATCATAATATTCTCGAATGTAAATAATATTATATATATTTTTTTAAATCATATTTTAAATCATTTTAAATCATAAATATGTATACGTTTTTGGAATAGGCCATATGATTTATAACAACCCTCTAATTTTCTCTCTGAGAATGAGTTGCCTCACATTCTCTGTTCTCAGTCATGGCCCTAACATCTGATCTTAAACATTAACAAAGGTTTCCGTTCCATGTTTTTCAATTTCTCCCACAGGGGCTCCTTGTTACTCCAAACCTCCATCCCTGTTGGGTCCTTACCCACGGAACCCCTCTTTTGACTACCCCTGGGGCTTCAACCCCTACCTCCCAGGGGCCTTTTCTCTGAACAACTGTCCCAAATTGCCCCCAGGCTCCCTCTACTCCTCACATTTCTATCCCAACCCGCTCCAATCCAGCCTGTCTCAGCTGTCACACCCTTTCTCTTCACTCTTAACCCCCGGAGACACGACCGGGGCAGAACGTGGTCAAACGGGAGGAACGAACGGCTCTGCGGGCGGTCAGCCTCCCAGACTCTGCATCCCACCATACCCAGGGAGCTTGCCACTGGGTCGGATTGAGCTGGGGAACGGGGGTACGGGTTTGGGCGACCGGGAAAGAGGGGAGGCCAACACTGCCGTAACAGGCGGAGGTCTTGGTTTGGGGTTAGGCCTGGGATTGGGTTTGGGTGGAGTTGGTGTGGGAAGCGGAGGAGGAGGCCGTCAAAGCCCTTCCGAGCGGAGGAAGGGTGTGAAGCAGGATCCGGAGTCTGACTCTGAGCTGGAGATCACAGACCTGAGCGACTGCAGCTCGGAGAACGAGAACGAGCCGGACTTCTCTCTGGGGAAGGAACCAGGTTTGGGTGGTCGCTCACACCTTCTAGAGGCCAAATCTGGGGGTCTCCGGGGAGTCTTGCCCCCTCTTTCTTCTCTTCCTTCACCTGTGTCTCTGCATCCCCTTAAAAGTCTGGCACCCCTGACTCCTCCACCATCATCCCTGCCTCCATCCCTCTCTCCCTCCCTCACTGTGGCCGACAAGCACAGGGAAAAAGAGACACTTAAACTTGCTCACAGTTAATATGTTCTGTTGTGTGATTTTTGATGTCTTGCAGGTTCTCTCTTTCTCTTTTTCTGTCTGTGTATTCCTGCATTTGTGAAATGATGCTGTATATTCCCATTTCATTTTTTCCTTCCTCTTTTCCGGAGTCCTCCGAAGCCATTCTTCGCTCATGCTGTTCCAATATCAGAACTTTCAGTTTCTGCTTTCTTCAATTTCTAAATCGCACAGTAAGACTCTCAATGCAATTAGAGTTTTTGTTATTCTGAGAGTAAAAGTGCAGCACACAAAAAGAAACTGCTTTTCGGATTAGAATGTTTAAATATCTAAAGAATTTTCATTCTCTCATTTCTGTTAGGAACAGTAACGATGAGATATTTTATAGCCAAGACAGCACAGTAACAAAATATGCATATCTTTTATCACCTACTTTTTAAATTGCACTGCATTCTGGCCCTGCTGAGATAGGCAGTTAGTTTGTTCTGCTTGGTGTATTTCACAGACTTTTCCATTAGTTAATGCTAAGCTCTGCAATACAGTGCTCAGATGAACAGCGTAACACAAGCGAAATGCAACAATGGCAACACTCATAATAATTTTAAGGTGATTCAGTTGTGTTGCAATAAAGCACTTTTGTTTTTAGTTTTGTGCTGATTTCAAGGAATTCAGACATATACATGGTCAAACATTGCCATCTTGTGGTTATATTTATATTATATTTAAGATAAACTTTATCTATGTATTATTTAAGTTTTTGTATTTATTTATTTAAGTTCACTTTCAATTTTCATGTCCAGTCCATGTCTTTTTTAAAACATTCAAAAAAATGTATGAGCCTGAGAATGAGAGACAGAGTCAATACTACTCATGCCAGTGAATATTTAAAGTTTGTATCTATTTCATTGTATATATTTTATTATAGTGTACATTATGTTTAATTACTATTACTATATGGGATAGTTGTATTGGTGTCATTTTACTCTGTACCTAACTGAAGAGTGATATATGAGATGGGAAAATGGATATATGTGTAGTGAGCCAAAGTTGACAGAGAAAGAGCACTTGTTTTTCACATGCTCATAAGAATGGCGTTTAGACAGGGAAGTGTGCAAAACACTTCTGCTGTTTCTAATTGTGCCCTGTGGAAATTTTCCCCAGATACCTCCAAGTAGATGACCCTTCTGGACTGAGTTACGCCGCTAGTCTCATATTTCAATAATTCATTCACCCAGTGGTGATGTACTATAATGAATCAAGTGTGAATAATATTAGTTGCAGCATTTGCTAATTTTTTAACCAGTGTTCATTCTAATGTTATTAAGTTTGATATATGATCATCCGATTTGAATGTAAGAACAATAAATAGGAGCAGAATGACACAATCTGATTAACAGCTAAATACAGTTCAGACAAGTTGGTGGGTAAAGATAACGATTTATACAAAAGCAAAATGCAAGTAAGATTTTATCAACCTATGCCAACAATATTTCCAGATATTCTTCTGATCCTTTGGTAAGTTACTATCTGATTCTAGATAAGAACTTAAAAAATCTTGTTACATGACAGTTTGTGCCCTTGACTTGCCCATACTAGAGGAGATTTCAGCTGTACATAGGACTTTGTGTATTTGTGTGTACACACTGAAAAGAAAAAATACCATTTACCTTACAGTAAAGCTTTTCTTTGTTTTATTGTGAAATTTAAAACAGAAAGGATGACTAGAACAAAAAATGAGCAAAGAGTAATATCTTCAAGAGCAATAAACAATATTCTAGAGATTCAGTTGTGAGAGTATGGATTTTTCTCTAGAGTTCAATATATGATTTGAGATCAAATGCATTCCATTAAAAGAAAAAAAAAAACTTGTTCATGCTGAGTTTTTTTCTGTCTGTGTGAAAAGCTTCATGAGGTGGCCTACATCCTGTCAGGTACCAAATTCACTGAATTTCAGAGATTAACTAGAAAAATGGAAGTACAAAAAGGCCTATCATATTTCCTGTGCATACAAAAATCTATACGAGTGAAGTGTATTTAAAAATGCAAGCTAGGATGGTGGAGTTTCACGTAATATACATTTCTACATCCAAACACAGACCTGGCACGGGCACATAAATAAATCGTGAATATGTGTATAGTAATGCCACGGGGGGCCGTAGTGTCCCTGAACACGCGTTCAAGAGCCCTGAGAGCCATACAAACGAAGGGGAACACATTTAGTGTAACACTAAAACGGAACCATACGGGGATACATGAAACGGTCTTTGGACATATTTCGGCCTCTGGTGGTCGCAAGTCACAGGAAGGCAGTAGACGGCAAAAAGTTATGTCTCAAACGGAAAAAAACATAGTTTTCAGTCGAGTGCACTCGGGGTTCGCTGAACATATTTAATGATCATCCGTACATAAAGAGGAATGATTTATTCCTGCTTTTATATCTGCTGTCAAACGTCGCGCGCTTGAATTGGTCTCCACTTCCGCGTACAATGTTTTTTTCCAACGGCATACGACAACTTTAGAACAGGAAGCCTTCAGAGGCGCTTGTCACTTCGTCTCACCTTTTAGGAGGTAAGTTTTAAGCGTAAACATGTGGTTTAGGTTGTCTGTTACGATTTTGATTTTTTGGTGCTCGATGTGATTTGTCATCAGAGGGAGCATTCGCATGCTTGATTAGCATGATCGGCGAGTGATCCGATCCTGCCAATTTGTCTTTGCTCAGCGAGAGGAATGTTGTGTTTGGCTACAGTGTAACCTTTGCCAGCATTCCTGTTATTTCCGTCGACCCGCGCCTCTATTTTTCAACAGAGAGCGAAGATAATATTCGAATCGAGCTTCTTCGTGATGTGTTTTGAAATTAAATCGCCCTGTGACAGCTGAACAGTTTTACTTGAAATGAATCGACACGATATAAGGACTGCAGTCCATACAAGAACAATGTCAACATAACCGCCGTTTGCGTTGTTATTGATATTTCAGTTTTGATAAGCAATGACAGGATGTTAGCTCTACACTAAATAATTTCATCGATTTATAATAAGCTAATTATATCAATTGTAATTCTTAATAGAAGTGTAAGGCCTGTCAGGTAACGTTTTTTATGAATTCTATTAATATTTAAGCAATATAGAGAAAGTTCTGTTGTAGCCTACTGCATATTAGCACGGCTAAAATTCCTCCCAATTGTGATTATGATATTGCTTTCTTAATACAGTTAGTACACAGGTAGATTAGTATGTAGTAAGTTCTCTTCAGGTGAAAGTAGCCAGTTATATTTCTTGTACTAAAAAAATAAATAGTTCCAAAAGAAACCAGGGCAACAGTTTTTACAAGTTTGCAAGCAAAATGAAAGCCTGGTCTGGATCACTATTTATGAGCGGAGAATATTTTCTCTTCTCGATCCAAGCCTTCTGTAATCCTTGGCCTTAATTCCATCCCGTGTTTTGCATTTTGCACTCACTGAGAGAAACCCAGGTGAAGAGAAAGCACAGGCGCAGTGACCTTTAAAAACCTGCTAATTGAGGCAAGCAGTGTTGCCAATTTAGCTACTTTGTAGCTAGATTTAGCGACTTCCCCGCCCCTTTTGAGACTTTTTTCAAAAGTTTAGGGACAAATATAGCAACTTCTTGGACAAACCTTATCCAAGTTCTCATCTTGCCCACTGATCAACGTTCATCTTTATATAGATCAGTGAATTTGCCATTGTGATGTCATCTAGTGACATTTAGCTACTTTCAATTGAAAGCAGTTGGCAACACTGGAGGCAAGCAAAATCACACTGCTCCTTGCATTCTTACATACTTGGGTCTGCGTCCCTGTGCTGTTATTTTAAATAACTACACTCTTGAAACACTGCTCAGCCAATTAAATTTGAGCCTGAAACTGCCTGCTGTGTAATGCTTGATACATTTATAATAACCCCTGGCAGGCAGAAAAAAATAGGGTTTATTATGAATTTTATTGATATGCTTTAATAAACTGAGTACAAATTGTAGCCCCCTTGTGTTTGTCCATACATAAAGTAGCTTTAACTTCAGGCTTAGTTTGTTTTTGTAGTATACTTAGTTATATAAGCGAATGTCAAGGTAAATTGATGTAGGCCATTGTTTACATTTTATGTTTGGCTTCCAGGTAATTTGTTGTGTAGAAAACCACCGTAGTCCATTATAATTTTGGGCGAGGAGCACTTAAGAAGCATCGTTAGTCTTGATGTAGTTCTTAGCTATGACTGTCTGACAGCTAGAGTGAACTGGGATTAGATTAGTTTAACCTTCATGAAGTGAGCTTTGTTCATATTTATTGGATGCATTTGAAGAGAAATTGCAGTCATCAGTTAACCTGCCTGTATTCCTCTGTCAGCTGGTGGTACTCTGTTTGCATCTTAGTGTTGTATGTAAACATTCTTATTTCTTGTTTCCTTGCATTTTGAAAAATTATTCATATTATTGAGCTTATTTGCATTAAAACGCACCACTGTCAAAATGTATAATCCTTTAAGAGGTCATTACAGTTCAGATTATTCTGTTATGTAGGAGGACTGACACATGGAAAGGCCACAAGCATTGTTATACTTGTAGCTTTTTGAGGTTTTACATAACTGTAGATCATAATGGAAAAACAGGAAGACGATACAAAGTCGCCGAGATGCAAACAGGTTTAGGTCAACAATGAAGAGCTTCAGGCATTTATGGCTTTAGATGGTACAACCCATTACAAAGAGATTCCTGCTTACTGTAGTTCAGTGGAAAAGCTGGAATGAATAGCCTGTCACGAAGCCAGTTGGATTGGCCATGTACATGAGCTGTATGATTCAAGCTTGTTTGTAGGAAAAATTCTCGAAAGCAAGTGTGCTAATTTTGAATCTGTTCGATCATCCTCTTTCCATTTGCACAATCATAATTTTTAGAATACACTTCCGTTCAAAATTTGGGGTTGGTAAGGTTTTTAAATGTGTTTGAAAGAAGACTCTTATTTTCAACAAGGCTGCATATGTTTAATGGAAACTGAAGACATTAGCATTGTGAAATAATGCTGTGATTTTCTGTTTTATATTTTTAAATCGTTTTTAAATATATTCCTGTGATGACAAAGCTGAATTTTCAGCTACCATTACTCCAGTCTTTAGTGTCACCTGATCTAAACAATTTGAATGGTAACGTATGAAAAACACACTTGGCACAATACCAAGTAGTATCTTGATACCTCTTTTATTGTGTTATTGCAGAGGCTGTTCTGCTGTAATAATTATTAACCCAAACTTCTCAAAAATTTACAGAACTCATCACTGGTGGTGCTCGTTTGGTTCGCTTTCACATTGTTGTTTCTCTTGAGCTATTTTTTGAATGGTTGGCTTATGTACAGATGTTTGGCCACTCTGTCTGTCAAATTCTCAAATTTTTTCCCACCCTGTTGCACTCCATATTGCATCTTGTGTGATTGGCTCGTGAAACACTGGACTCAAATAATACATGCCATGGAGTACTGTATGTGATCCATGGTAGTATATTCTCATGCAGTACATGCATCACATTACTTTTGTAATGTACTGTGGCACTGCTGGTATTTTGAGGCTTAGGCATTGTGATACTATCGTAGTACCTGTATATCATGCAACCTAGTTAGTGTGAAGTATTAAGAGTCTTTGCTCCCAGATTTGTCATTGGGTTGGATAATAACTGAAGCAATGGGGGTGCCTTACCACTTCCTTTTCCTGTTCTGACATTGCTTGCCTCTCTCTTTCTCTCTCACTCTTTCTCTCTCTCTCTATGTGACATTCATTGAGAGAGGCAAGTACAATCTTGTCCAGACTAAAGCTACTGACTCTTTCTTTTGAAGGAATGCACACCATTTCATTTTGTATCACTCCTCCACCTGCTTTTTTCTCACCATGTGCCTCACTTCCTCTCATACACTGGGTTGTTTTACCATAGACAGTGAGTGCTTTGTGTTCACTCCTGGAATTGAGAGTAACGTAATTAGACCAAAGCAATTATAGTGTGATGCTGGAAATTATATTTTGTAATAAAAAGTCTCACACAGTAATATGGAAATAGTGAACATGCACGTTAATAGACCCAGGGCATGTTTCATCTTATTTAAGGGATACTTCACCCACAAATGAAAATGCTATCATTTACTTAACCTCATGTTGTTTCCAGTTCTGTATGACTTTCGTTCTTCTGAAGAACACAAAAGAGGTATTTTGAAGAATGTTTCTACTGTTTATACGATGAAAGTCAATGGGGTCCAGATATATTAAATCCGTACGTTAGGTCTTAGTGATAGCAGCCTAATATACCTGCTGCTGTCTGTGTCCTTAATGTTAATCAAACAAGAATGGAAAAGCAGAAAATCACTCACTGATCTTAAATGAATAACTTTTGTTTTAATAACAGCCGCTTGTTGCAACCTTATTTCCAGCAAAAATAACTCCCGATATAAGATTTTGTTCATATCGAAAAATCTTCTTTTTTGTTCCACAGAAAAAAGAAAAAAACATGGGGGTGAGTAAATAATGACACAAGTTTTAGGTGAACCGTCCCTTTAATGGGCGGAGTCAGATCTCTTGTGAAAAATTAGGAAAAAGTCTAGTAAGTTTGTATGCATGAATGTCTGTGTAGCAGGTAAGAAAATGAGAACACACTCCAGTAGATTCTTGCTGCAGAAGAATAAAGAATTGCTCTGTTGTATGCTTATATTGTATGAAGCTATAAATGAGCTAATTTGGTTTTCTGGTGAGTCAAGTTTGCAATTAGCTACTGAAATGAGACCATATATAAGCATTCAGGCCAAATCATGCATGCAGCAGTGTGTCTCCTATTTGTGTTCACAGTGTGTTGAGGATGTGTGCATGTGTGTAATGTGATGTTTTTGGCATGCTTTGCTGAGGCAACAGAAACTGTTGGTGTTCCTTGACACATTAACAAAGAAGCCTATGTCTTGTCATGAGTAATAGTAGTGGTGTATGTCTGGGTGGGAGGTATGTTTGTGGAAGCTGTCAGTGGATGTGTTCGCAGTGTGAATTGTGGTTGTATGTTATTAGGAAGCAAAGGTGGGTGTGGAAAAGTTACTCACTTGTGGAAAATACAAAGCTTAAAGTGATCTAAATCTATTTTATGGAGATCTGAAAGAGTGACAGAGATGCAGAGTCTTAAAGAGAAGGTATGACAGAGTGATGTGTCTTCATATGAACAGGAAATAGAGAAGGATGAGTAGGGCATACTGAAACATGGAATTGAAAGTTAAAGAAGACCGGATGAAAGAGAGATTGACTAAATTGACAAAAAAAACCGAAAGGATTTCATAACGGAGCCTCTGAGTTGCTTGTGAATGTCAGCAGAAAAGAAAGAAAACAGGACTTTTGTGGACATTGTTGGCCATTGTGTCGTCTCTTGCCTTGAGCGCTGGGTTTTTAAGATGCTGTATGAAGTTTAAAGTTGTCAGCTTTAAATGTCATACGCACAATGACAAAAAAACAAAACACAAAGTGTGTCTCAAGATTTTTTTGCCTTTTCGCCATTCTGTCTATCGTCGTCCATCTGTTCGGTGTGGTCTGGCGCAGAGAGTTGCCT